CAACCCACTACCCATCTACCTCCATTTGTCCCTGACTGTGTAGATTCTGACTTTTGGCAAGAAGGGGGAGGTCATAAAGAGAACTGTGCCAACCCACACTAGCACGTAAAGGGGAATCAGACTTACTGCCATTAATATGGACAAATTTGTGTGACAATGAGACACCAACTATGTCAAACCTTTAAATAACCAGTTAGTAGGAAATAGACAGAAGTACCCTCCTAGGCTTTAAACAAAAGTGAAAACTCATATCACTCCACTTGCTCTAATTTACTGAATCATATGCCATATTGTAAATGTGTAAGAGGCATATTCACCCATATGGGGTTAATAGCCAGCAGAATCATCTATATTTTAAGAGACTCCCATCCATTTCCAGCCCACCCTGGTAGACAATGGAGGACTCAGACATTGCAGGCTTTGGCCTGTAATATAAGATAGCTATTGTCAATACTGTAACTCCCATGTTCCATAAAGAGTTCAATGAGCTAGGGTTCTTAAATATCTACCCCAAAACAAACATCCTTGTAACAGTAGCTTGTGGAGTTATATTCTATATCATTGACACCATTCTAAAAAAATGGAACCCATTACATTAAGATATTTATCAGATCAACTGGTGTAATATAATAATCAAAGCATACCCCTGTTACAGCCTACATGGCCATAATACTCATTCAGACCTTTTTCCTTTCCATACTCTAGTCTAATTGGAAGGTATTGTGGGATGTGTGTGTGTATATGTGTGTGTGTATATATATATATATATATATATATATATATATATATACACACATATACAGCTGTGTTCAAAATAATAGCAGTGTGTTGAAAAAAGTGAATAAAGCTCAAAATCCTTCTAATAGCTTTTATTTCCATACACACAAATGCATTGGGAACACTACACATTCTATTCCAAATCAAAACACGAAGAAAAATATATGAAATTTGTGTTGCTCCTCTAAAAAAAGAAGAAAAAAGTGAATATTAGACTGTTAACTTAATTAATATTGATTTGTATAAGCACTGTTTCTGAGAACTGCTGTACATCTGTGTTGCATGGAGTCAACCAACTTCTGGCACCTGTGAACAGGTATTCCAGCCCAGGATGATTGGACTACATTCCACAGTTCTTCTCGATTTCTTGGTTTTGCCTCAGAAACTGCATTTTTGATGTCACCCCACAAGTTTTCTATCGGATTAAGATCCGGGGATTGGGCTGGACACTCCATAACGTCAATCTTGTTGGTCTGAAACCAAGATGTTGCATGTTTACTGGTGTGTTTTGGGTCGTTGTCTTGTTGGAACACCCATTTCAAGGGCATTTCCTCTTCAGCATAAGGCAGCATGACCTCTTCAAGTATTCTGATGTACTCAAACTGATCCATGATCCCTGGTATGCGATAAATAGGTCCAACACCGCAGTATGAGAAACATCCCCATATCATGATGCTTGCGCAACCATGCTTCACTGTCTTCACAGTGTACTGTGGCTTGAATTCAGTGTTTGGGGGTCGTCTGACAAACTGTCTCCAGCCACTAGACCCAAAAAGAACAATCTTACTTTCATCAGTCCACAAAATGTTGCGCCATTTCTCTTTAGGCCAGTCAATGTGCTCTTCGGCAAATTGTAACCTCTTCAGCACATGCCTTTTTTTCAACAGTGGAACTTTGCGGGGGCTTCTTGCAGATAGGTTGGCTTCACATAGGCGTCTTCTAATTGTTACAGTACACACAGGTAACTTTACACCTTCTTTGATCTTCCTGGAGCTAATTGTTGGCTGAGTCCTTGCCATTTTGGCTATTCTTCTATCCATTCGAATGGTAGTTTTTCACTTTCTTCCACATCTTTCAGGTTTTGGTTGCCATTTTAAAGCATTTGTGATCATTTTAGCTGAGCAGCCTATCATTTTCTGCCCTTCTTTATATGTTTTCCTCTCTCCAATCAACTTTTTAATCAAGGTGCGCTGTTCTTCTGAACAATGTCTGGAACGACCCATTTTCCTCAGAATTTCAGAGAGAAATGCACTGTAACCAGCATGTACAACATTTGCTGCCTTCCTTCCTTCCTTAAATAAGGGCAATAATTGCCACCTGTTTTTCAAAGAATGAATGACCTCACTAATAGAACTCCACACTGCTATTATTTTGAACATGCCCCTTTCATTAGTGATTCAATTACACAGAATCAGCAGCATGCATGTCATGACTGTTGGGTCTGTTGGATTTCTATTACTCTACTACAGCTGCTAGTAAATTATTTGCCATGTAGAAATATCATTTCTACCAAAAACAGTGATTGATCAGGTTAGTGTTGTCTGACTGTTATTATTTTGAACACAACTGTATATATATATATATATATATATATATATATATATATATATATATATATATATATATTTTTTTTTTTATTTTAACTACAATGGTATGTTTAGCATTTTCTCTTTTTGTGTCATGTTTTGGTGTGTGATGTAAAATATTTATTTTGTAGAAATTGATTTTACTTGTATACACTTCGCTTGGAACCTGAGGAAGTGAGTTAATTGTGAAATGTGTTGATCCTTCATGCCTCAAATTGGACAGTTGCATGTATAAAAATCTATTGTACTCCAATGTTTGAAGATGATCATATTTTATTACGATTTTAAGTAAATCAATCCCATGCTTTTACCCGTTGTTTTCTGTAATAAAGATATTATTTTTTGTAAAATATTGAATTGAAGGCACTACGAAATTCCCATATCTTTCTCGCCTGACTAAGGCTGGGATGAGAAATTAAGTCATTTCTGATTTCTTGGTTCAACTTTACTGCTTGCTGGATCGAGAGAGAAAGCGAGAATACTGAGAGAGAAAATAAGTGACTGCATATCTAACTTTTAGTTTTGAAAACCTCTGCAGCCCCCACCCTCCATGGCATCCTCATCATAACAGGTCATGAAAACGTATCTAAGAAACCTCACTACTTGTCTTGCCCATGGCCAGGCAATGTTTACAGCCTCTAGAATAGTCTAAAGTGTGTACCTTGCAGCCAGGCCTCCTATTCTCACATATTATGGTTTATGGCATAGATGATAAATAGTGAATTTCAGCCTAGATTCAGCAAATGTTAAATACGGCCATCCTGGTCAGATTTGCTTACCTTCCAGGGATGACATGCCAATGCTATAAAAGTAGAATGGAAAATATTAATATAGCTTTAACATTGCGACCTAGTATTTTCTCACTTCCAGAGATGTCACTGGATCTTCATTTTGTGATGAGTAGGAAAAGTTAGAATATTTCTTTCTTTACTGATATTGCCTACGCTTACAGCAGTTATCAACATAATATACAACCTTTAGTTTGGACAAAAGGATTACCTAGCAGCAGTAATTGAAAATGGTTGCTATTTAATTACCAGTGGTTTGTTTTTACATCAGTAATATAAAATATATGTCATCTGGGCAGGCATCCAGTATCAGCTTTTGTTTTGTGCTAGACAGCCGTGTGCTATTCACTGGTCTGAGTTTTCTTTTGTCAATGTCTTATGAGATTCTTTTTCAGTTAAGTTTATTGCAGAAAAGGCCAGACTAGGCTAGAACTATAAATAATGTTTATGGCTGCTTGTTTAATCTGTTCTCTTACATTTAAAGAAGACCACTGAGCAATCTAAACAGACCATGTAATGTGCGATTTCAGATAAACAACCCATTCCATTAAAAAAAAACCACCTGCTATTTATGATATTCTCCTGGCTGTAACAGTCATACACATTTGGAAAAATCACTCTTTCTTGGCATGTCAATGGTAGGGGAGGACATAGAAAGCACGCCTTGTGCTTAATCTCTGTGATCTTAAAGGGTCACTGTCATGAAGCAAATCACACTTGTCACTAAGCTTTAATGGTGTAACCGGTGTGCTGCAAATGAATCATAGAATGGATACTTCAGTGAAAGCTTAAATACTACGTTGTTTTGCCTTGTAGCAAACAGTACAAGGTGCTTGCTCCTTAAAGTGGTTGTAGAGGCTGAAGGTTTGTTACCTTCTTGCATTCTATGCCGAAGGTAAAAAACCTTCTGTGTGCTGCTCCCCCCACAGCCTCCCAGTACTAACCTGCGTCCCCTCTAGATCCAGCAGTGTGTACAGGAGCCATGGGTTATCGTGGGTCTCTTTTCTCATTGGCTGAGACACAGCAGAGCCAGAGCCATCGGCTCCCACTGCTGTCAATAATAGCCAGTGAGCCCAATGAGGAGAAAACGGGCGAGGCCGAGCCGCTACTCTACGTATCTTATGAATGCATAGAGCGGAGCTCAGGAGTGAGCATGCACTAGTGCCCCCATAGCAAGTGGCTTGCTATTGAGGGCACTGGTCAAGGGGGATCCAGGACTGTTGGCAGGGAACCCGAGAAAAGGAGGATCGTGGCTGCTCTGTGCAAAGAGCAGGTAAGTATGACTTGTTTGGTATTTTTTTTCTTTTAATTGAAACTTTAATATCACTTTAAGGTGCTCCTTAAAAAGTATGTGAAGGCCAAACTTTTATTTTTTCTAGTTTTGGATGGAGTGAGAAAGGGTCAGGTTTTTGGCTATTAATCTCAGTAGGATAGAAAGTAATGGGAAATCCAACATGTTGGTGTTGTCACTGGAAATTTTCCAATGAAACATGTTTTCAGATGAAAAATGTCTAAGAGGGAATTTCTGCTTTTTATCAATTATGGTGTGAAATGTAAATGGCCCACTACTCACTAGCATTCAGCAAAATTCAATTGAACTATGCCCTCTGGGGTTTCTCCCTGCTTGATGAATAATGAACATATTCCTAGTTCTAGCCAAAATAACACTGCTAGCTCCTCTTTGCTATCCCGGAGTTCCCCAACAGCATTAATAAGCTCCTGTCTGTATTGAGCATGAAGGACGTGCAACATGCATCTCTATAAAATAAAGGTTATACTTTCAACTGGCATATGTTTTTTGGTATGATATCCTATGTCTATTAACAACACTGATTCTTGTTTTCTACAGGTCGAGTCTTGACTCTTGAAGCTTGTTCTACATCTGACTCATCTACTACCCTGTCCGAGTTGTTGCCAAGTTTGAATCTATACAAAACAGCATTACAAGTGTGTAGAGGGGCCTCATTTCGAGAATATGACTTGGAAGCAGAATTGCTTTTCCTAAAAGGTATAAATCTTACGATTTTAAGTGTAAATACAATCCAAATACTACAACACTTAACCTGTATCTACCAGTCACATTATAGCAAACCAACAGATCAATGTAAATATTGTTAAATAGCTAGCTTTTTTCATTAAATTGTGTTAGGTATGAGTAAGTGCTCATACTTTTGCTTTTTTTGCTTCAAATTAATTCTTTTCCTCAATGTGAGTTCCAAAACTCATCAGAACCAGCTCAGAGGTGTTAATTTACTAAAACTGCTGAAGTTAGAAGCTGATTGACTACCATGCACAGCTGCACCAGATTTTGCACACTCCAGTTTAATAAATCAACCCCACAAGCAGCGCAAAGCAATATCCTGAGCAACTGAAAACAAGACAAAGCAACCAAAAGGTTATTGATTTGGTAAAACTGGAGAGTGCAAAATCTGGTGCAGCAATGCATGGTAGCCAATCAGCTTCTAACTTCAGCTTATTCAATTAAGCTTTGACAATTAAACCTGGAAGCTGATTAGTTTCTATGCAGAGCTGCACCAGATTGTGCACTCTCCAGTTTTGGTAAATCGACTCCATTGTATTTGGCACACTTCTGAGTCTAACAACTGTGTGCATGATCAGTAAGAATCATTGTACCATATTCTAATTCTAATACTATTCGCCATGTTTATTGTGTTAAATGTGTTCCATCTATATTGCATTATTTCTTTGTGATTGCAGATCTTATTCTACAGTATATCAATGTGGTTTAAGCAACAGTCACCTGTTTCCTAGCAATAGTTAGATTAATGGGTAAATGATACTTTGTTAAAATGGAAGAAAGGCAAGGTGAAGGTTTTGCCAACATCATTTAGATGTTATTGTCCATTTTTAAATACTTGTTAATTAAATCTGCTTGTATCCTTCCAAGATGGCACCTATTATTGTTTTGATAACATACTAATATGCGCCTATTCTAAAACTAAATATAACGAAAACTTCTTTAATCAAATTTATATAAAAAATGTTTTTACTTCTTCATTCAGTATGTTTTTATTACTTTTGATGTTGTTGGAATACAGTCTCTTAGATGTTAACTTAATTTTAGGTAAGACAGAGCGCCTGATGTTTCTCCTTGGAGACCATGAAAAATCCACAGCCATCAAATCCTTTTCTGAGGCTATAAATGTGAGCAGTAATTATGATCATAACTTTAGGTAAGAAAAATACAGGGTTTTGTTAGATTGAATGACACGTTTTGGACTATGCTGATAAGTATATGCTTTTGTTGTATACACAGAAATATTTTTCTGAGAATTATCAGGTCTGAAATTGGGAAATTATTTTTGATAACAGTTTTCACTGAATTATATGAAATGTATAATCATTACTAAGCTAATAAGAAATTGTTCATCTTCAGTAAATTGTTAACTGCAGATGCTTGCAATCCTGTCTTGCAGTATTTACAATTACTGAACTTATAAGAATATTAATAGTATAACCAATTTTCTAGTCATTTTTAATTATAATATTTTTTCATATTTCTCATAGCTTGATAAGAAAAGCATACCTAGAAATTGCTCTACTATATATTCACATGTCCAATCTGGATACAAACAAAAATACTATAACTCTTAGAAGCATGAAAACACCAGAAACTCCAACATCAAAAGGGAAGGTAATTCTTGTGTATAATATACTGTATATGTTACATTATTGTTAGTTGTAGTGAAAGTATTTTGTTTAAAATCTCTGATGTGAAATATTTGGCTAGGATAAACTTGAAGTTAGGAAGGGGCAGAATTTTCTTAAATGGCAGGATATATTCTACTGATAAATAATGCTGATCTAGCGAGATAAAATAATACTCTGTTATGGATTTATTCTGTAAAACATTGGATGGTTTCTTTATGATTACTGATTCTGCTAGCTATCAGAAATGGTTTACCAAAACCCTTAGCTAAATTCCATGCAAACCATTAAACACACAGTTAAAATACATATGTTAAAGCTTTTTTTGCCATCTAAGAGATGTATTTCTGTTATTAAAAAGTCCTGCCAGCAGCACAACAAGGCTGATGACCAAACTTTTTTCTGCTAAAGTCAGCAATACAGCTAGCTTACTTACCACTTTCAGCATGTGACTGAACAGCTGATGCAACAGACTGAAGTCCTCTTTCTCCTGTCAGTGTGTTCCTTATCAGTACATATGAATGCAGCGCTCCTGATTTGTGCTATATTAAACTTTTTTGCTAAGATTTTGATAGAATATCAAAGGTTAGAGCTTTGTCAGTTTTTTGTTTTTTTTTTCTTTTGCTGTCTAAGGCCCCTTTTACGTGGGCTGACCGATCTGGTCTGCCTGTCCATTTTTCAGGTGGGCCTGATCAGACTATCCATTGCCCTCTATGGAACGGTGGATGTAAACGGATGTGTTCATTTACACCCGCCTGCATCCTTTTTATACCCGCCTGCATCTGATCCTCTAAAAACAGACGGGTGGGGATCTGTTTCCTAAACATCTAGTGCAGGGGTGTCAAACTGGCGGCTCTACAGCTGTTGCGAAACTACAAGTCCCATCATCCCTCTGCCTTTGAGAGTCATGCTTGTAACTGTCAATCTTGCAATACTTCATTGGACTTGTTGTTTGGCAATAGCTGGAGGGCCACCAGTTTGACACCCCTGGTCTAGCGGATCGGATCAGATGACGGATGTAAATGGACAGGCGGCCCATAGAGGAAAGTGGGCTGTGTCCATTGCCACTGTCAGAGATGCAGGTGTGGCCAGAAGTGTGTGGACTGACACAGGGAAACGCAAGCTTCAAATATGGTATAAATAAGACGCTTTATTAAAGACTAACAATACAAACATAAACACAGTGCACCAAACCCCAAGCTAACACAAATACATACAACAACAAGGTGAAACAAACCCAAACCTAAACTGATACAGATACCCAGGTACATACACATGTAGAGCACAACGTAGTTAGGCAGGCCGGGTCGATAACTATCGGGCAGGTAGGTACAGGAGGAGCAGGCGGAGAGAATGGTCAGGGTCACAAGCCAGGAATCAAAACAGGAGAAGTCAGCAGAGGTCAGGATCAGGCAGGGTCGGCAACAAGTCAGGCAGAAACAGGAACAGGAACGCAGGTTACAAGATACAGGGGCCTATTGAAAAACACACACCAAGGCACAGACTGCAGGTCTGGCCATACCTTAAATAAACCTGCAATCAGCCCCAGGTGATGGCTAATTGCCGAAGTGAACCTCTGGTTGTTGAGAGCACCCTCTGGCCAGCCCTGGTACTGCAGCCCACAAGGCAGGTGAGTCCCACCACTATTGGCAAGTCCATTCCTGACATCCACTCTGCATAAGGAGAGTAGACATGAACCTGTCATCCACCTGCTCAGCGGGTGATCAGCAGACAGATCCCCCACTGAACAGGCGGATCTGCTGGTGGAGTCTGCCCATGTGAACGGGCTTAAATCCCATCGGGGAGACTTTACATCACTTCTGTGCAAAAAAGCAGCATGAAGTAGACAGTTATACTCTAACATGTGTTGCCATTAGAGGATTTTTCCTCACCTTTTGTTTGGTGACAACTGTAAAATGTCGGCTTTCCCACCACTTTCTTGACAGTGGTCATCAAGTCAAATAGAGATGCTAGTGGGGCACAGATGGCAAAAAAAAACCTTGACGGGTTGAAATCTCTCCATTTTTTATCCAATACTAAAAACAAGGACATAGAGAAGAAATTGAACATAATAGTGGTTTTAATCCTTCCATACTCAATCCACAATTAAATCAAAACATTTAGCTATCGATACATTTTAAACTGTTTCCCAGCAAGAGTCAAATATAAATGTAAGAGCTACATTATAAAAAACTGAAAGAAATGAATGTGCTATTAACATTAGCAAACTGCTAGTGCCTATTTTGTATTTATATTTTTGACAAATATGATTGGTTGCTATGATTTATTGCATTGTGTGTGTCATGATTCCTCTTTGCAATGCATTTTAAAATAAAGCTTAGGAGTTTTCCTCCTTGATTTTGTTGGTAATGTGGATAAAGCTTAGGTGGGGGCTGTAAAGGTTTCAGAATACACTCTAAAACTCTAAGAATTTCTTCATAAATTACCAGTCATTTTCTACATCTTAGCTTACCATTTAATAATCATAATCTGCACCTTTCAGGCAGCTAAAGTGCTGGCGAGAGACGGTGGTGAAAAAGCACTGAGCCCATTGGAGTTCTACAGAATGCTGGCATGGATTGCAATACGAGCTGCTACACAGGTCCTTCTTGTTTTTAGTATAAATGCTTTTTTACAAATGTTAATATAAAGAAGAGTAATTGTTACGGTTTAAATAATATGACCTGAGAAATACAAAGAGAGGTGATTTTGTAATTCAGTTATATACAGTAATATAAAGGTAAATGGAATTAGTGCAGTGAATTTTTCCTTTTTTAATACTAAAAAGGCACTATACAAATATTACATTATTGTCATAACTCATTTGTGTAAAAGAGGTTTAAATAGCATTCCTTAATAATTAATGTATATTTCAAGTGGTTATCCCAATAGGAAATATTTTAAATGGTGGTATTTTACAGCACACAAGTGACGTGCTGTCCAGTAAAGATAAATACTGCCAACGTAGAATAGTAGGCTGAGAAACAAAGTTACATAAATGTATCTTATTGTCTGTACAGCTGTGGGAACGTTTATATGCACAGCTGTTTTGTGATTCATAGCTTTTTCAATAATACATATAATGTCATCTATTTTGCTTTTAACAGTGAGTAATGCAAGCAAGCATCTACCACCCACTCATAATATTTGCTATTCAACAAATGGGTTCGTTTTTGCTAACTGACTACTAATTATATTATACCTTTTACCTGCTATATTTTTGCTATATAGCATACTATATACTATATGAATATGCATATTAGGTTTTTCACACACTGATGGAGATGGCCCTAGTCTGTTTTACACATTGAATTTTTCGTGAAACAAAAAGGATGTTCTTCATTTAAAAGGATTTCTACTGTAAGTGGAAAATAGGCTCTTAAAAGCCTAAGTTTACTAACAAAAATACAGACTAGCACAAGAAACATTAATTACCTTCAGTGAGATGTGTCACTTGTACTCCTGTGTCCTTGTTTAGCAAAAATCCCCCCGTTCCCACCCTCTCCCCCACGCCTACAATATTTTGATGTGTGTGTGAGTGTGGAGGGGGTAACAGAACCAAAATAGCTGTCACAGGCACTCATTAAGAATTGCCTATCTTTGACACACCGCTCATCCATTCATAGAAGCCATGTTCTATAAATGTAGGGGACAGACCTTTCAATCATCTGTTTGTTCTCCATTGATAGACGTTGTAGTACAGCACCTATGAAAGGAGGAACTAGGAAGAAATTGCCAGCATAGTTGGACACTCTTGATGAGTGCCCCTCAAAGCTTCTTTAGTGATGTTAACCCCTGAAATAGGGGGCATCATAGAAGGAGTTGGATATCTGGTAAATGAGGACACAGCAGTATCTCACTGAAAGTAATGCCACTTTTAAAAAACTACCCATATTGGTCAGCCTATTGACTGCTGATGTAAAAATTGTAAACTCATATCATAGTTCATGTTTTATGATAATAAACTGGTCCTGTGTCTGCTAGTATAGCAAAGTGCATTGAAACGGTTTAAGTTATGTAAGCAACATACTATAAAAGTAAGATTTCCAACATTAATTAGTTAATTACAAGAAAAGTGTTGGAGCTGGGTATCCCTCTAAATGAACCCCTGCCACCCCTGTAAAAGATTGTATGCATACTTTTCAAAAAGGGTGTCTAACATGTTAATTTATATAGTTGTTTATCAGAAGTATTAGAGCTCTTTTTTTAAATTTTAGTTTAAAAATATCACTGATTTAAGTTCATAAAGATTGTGAATAGACGATATTTTGAAAGCATTTCAAAACTCAAATTCTGAGTATTTATAATATGAGCTCACAATTTTTACTGTATAAAGGGGTTAATAGGTAACATACACACACACACATATATACAGTTGTGTTCAAAATAATAGCAGTGTGTTGAAAAAAGTGAATAAAGCTCAAAATCCTTCTAATAGCTTTTATTTCCATACACACAAATGCATTGGGAACACTACACATTCTATTCCAAATCAAAACATGAAGAAAAATATATCAAATTTGTGTTGTTCCTCTAAAAAAAATGAAGAAAAGTGAATATTAGGCTGTTCAAAAAAAACATTGTTTGTATTCTTCTTTACAATCTCAAACATTCACTAAATAAACTGAAAAATGTTTGAAGATTTTGCTTTCCTTTGAATCACTTAATTAATATTTAGTTGTATAAGCACAATTTCTGAGAACTGCTGTACATCTGTGTTGCATGGAGTCAACCAACTTCTGACACCTGTGAACAGGTATTCCAGCCCAGGATGATTGGACTACATTCCACAGTTCTTCTCTATTTCTTGGTTTTGCCTCAGAAACTGCATTTTTGATGTCACCCCACAAGTTTTCTATTGGATTAAGATCCGGGGATTGGGCTGGCCACTCCATAACGTCAATCTTGTTGGTCTGGAACCAAGATGTTGCACGTTTACTGGTGTGTTTGGGGTCGTTGTCTTGTTGGAACACCCATTTCAAGGGCATTTCCTCTTCAGCATAAGGCAGCATGACCTCTTCAAGTATTCTGATGTATTCAAACTGATCCATGATCCCTGGTATGCGATAAATAGGCCCAACACGGCAGTATGAGAAACATCCCCATATCATGATGCTTGCGCAACCATGCTTCACTGTCTTCACAGTGTACTGTGGCTTGAATTCAGTGTTTGGGGGTCATCTGGCAAACTGTCCACGGCCACTAGACCCAAAAAGAACAATCTTACTTTCATCAGTCCACAAAATGTTGCGCCATTTCTCTTTAGGCCAGTCAATGTGCTCTTTGGCAAATTGTAACCTCTTCAGCACATCTTTTTTTCAACAGTGGAACTTTGCAGGGCTTCTTGCAGATAGCTTGTGTCAGGGCTCCAGGGTATGACCAGAGGTATGTGAACTGACGCAGGGAAACGCAGGCTTCAGATATGTTATAAACAATATAATTTATTAACACTAACAATACATAAACGCAGTGCAATACTAAAACATAACACAGTGCAAACGAACCAAACCACCCACAGATAACAATACATACAATGCAAGCGTTGTCAGGCAGGCCGGGTCAATAACAATCGGGCAGGTAGGAACAGGAGGAGCAGGCAGAGAGTAGTCAGGTCACGAGCCGGGTACAGCAACTAACGGGCAGGTAGGTACAGGGGGTCAGGCAGAGAATGGTCGGGGTCACAAGCCAGGGATCAAACAGGAGAAGTCAGCAGAGGTCCGGATCAGGCAGGGTCAGCAACGAATCAGTCAGACAGGGACAGGGACAGGGACAGGAACAGGGATGCAGGTAACAAGATACAGGGGCCAGGAAAAACACGCACCAAGGCGCAGACTGCAGGTCTGGCCATCCCTTAAATACATCTGCATAATCAGCTTCAGGTGTTTGGCTGGCTGCAGGGTTGAGTCTCTGATTGCTGGGAGCACCCGCTGGCCAGCCCTGGTACTGCAGCCCACAAGGCAGGTGAGTCCCACCATTACTGGTAAGTCCATTCCTGACACTTGGCTTCACATAGGCGTCTTCTAATTGTAACAGTACTCACAGGTAACTTTAGACCTTTTTTGATCTTCCTGGAGCTGATTGTTGGCTGAGTCCTTGCCATTTTGGCTATTCTTCTATCCATTCGAATGGTAGTTTTTCGTTTTCTTCCGCGTCTTTCAGGTTTTGGTTACCATTTTAAAGCATTTGCGATCATTTTAGCTGAGCAGCCTATCATTTTCTGCACTTCTTTATATGTTTTCCCCTCTCCAATCAACTTTTTAATCAAGGCACGCTGTTCTTCGGAACAATGTCTGGAACGGCCCATTTTCCTCAGAATTTCAGAGAGAAATGCACTGTAACGAGCATGTTCAACATTTGCTGCCTGCCTTCCTTCCTTAAATAAGGGCAATAATTTCCACCTGTTTTTCAAAGAATGAATGACCTCACTAATAGAACTCCACACTGCTATTATTTTGAACATGCCCCTTTCAATTAGTGATTCAATTACACAGAATCAGCAGCATGCATGTCATTACTGTTGGGTCTGTTGGATTTCTATTACTCTACTACACACTGCTAGTAAATTATTTGCCATGTAGAAATATTATTTCTACCAAAAACAGTGATTGATCAGGTTAGTGATGTCTGACTGCTATTATTTTGAACACAACTGTGTATATATATATATATATATATATATATCAGAAAGGATTTTTTTGGCCACCAATCTGCTGGCTGATATGTTTTGGCATGCTGTGTTTTAGCACAAACAAGTCATAATTAATAGTTTCAACATTAATATTCATGAAACAGTACAAAAAAAAACCTGATCTCTACACAGAGATCACAACAACAACAAAAATTATATCTCGGCTTCATTGTATTGAAAACCAAACACTATGTCAAAAGTAATGTTGCTCTTGTACATTCATTTGGGTCCCTTCAAATATATACTCAAATATTCCTTCTTCTGCAAACGTTCATTACTGGTGCTTGAATGAATGCATAAAGATGAGCTTACCACAACCCACCCCCATCCCACCTCCTCCGCCTTTCTCTCAGAAAGAGAGTCTAAAAGGAGACAGCTTTGCTCTCTATTTAAAAAAAAAAAAATAAATGAATGCCTAGTGTCATGAGTGCACCCTGCATTAAATGTCTATAATGTATAATACACATTTTTTTTTTTAGGGTAGAAGAAAAAAAATATTATACAACGGTTTAAACAAACGAATGCTAAAAACTAAGATACACTTGTCTCACAAGCATTCTACTCTCCCTTTAACTTTTATATAATAATAAAAAAGGCAAAATATCCCAAATATATTTTGTTACCTTTATTTAGGTCTCCATCTTTGTTTGTATTAAAAGGCATAGCTATTGGGAAGCTCCAGTTTTTCTCTCCTTGAGTCCCCCTCTCACTTGTTTGCAATTTATAAATATAACATTCAAGCTTAGTGTTTGGTTTACATTAAATGTAATTTAAAAACATAATATATTGCTGCTTACCAATTCTTATGTAGCGCCACTCCCAAAAAGGACTGTGAATTTATAGGTTCTTTCCCAAAATAACGCAGAGACAGTCAGGCACATAGCAACAGTTCACTCACTCCTGGCCAATGAACA